CCCCCCCCCCCCCCCCCCCTCCCCCTCGTAAAGGGAACTCTCACCATCGACCCGCAATAACCGCGCGACCTCCAGCTACAGGGTGACCCTCTGTGAGTCCTGGCGCCAATCCCACCTAGATCAAAAGATGCACTAAGGCTATTCCCACCTTTCAGGAGTTTGCAGAGGAGGCGTGTTCGTCGGTAGAGCTTCTGGGGTCGAGGAGACAGGGGACTTCAGTCTTCGGGCGTCGCCGCCTCCTCCCTCGCTTGGGAGGGGCGGCCGCCGGGGAGCGGCGGCGGCACGCGGCGGCGGGGACGGCGGCGGGCGCGCGGCGGGCCCGGGCACGGGTACGAGCTGTCCGGTATTGGGGTCCGCAACCATGGACATCTGCAGATTTTTGGAAGGGGGCGAGCCAAGAGGGTCGTTAAGGACGTCGATGCAAGGAAGAGGTCACCACCTAGAAGACAAGTGTTTTTGCCCGATCGTGGTTGCTCGCATTTTCTCGCCCTGCCGGAGAGTTTTGCAGCAGCTTCTTTGCCGGGCACTACGTTCCCCATCGCCCCTGCCCATCCAGCCCTCAGGTGCGAACACATGTAAGAAAATAGCGTTGGCACCGAACCATCGTTGCCCCTTCCCACCCCCGACTTGCGGATTTGTCTCGATGAAGCGTCGATGCTGCATCACAGCGCAGCATTACATATCCTTTCCGGGTTTAAAAACGAAAGCGCTCGCCAAATCGTGGCTCCATAGCAGCTACCGCGCATTTGCGAAATAATGTTGCGGACTGTCCGTGGGGTGCTTGCAACGCTTTCCGTCGTGCGAAGCTTCCATGTGCGCAGAATTGGGGAGCTCTCTGCCGTGTTTACTTGGGACGAACGGCGGCGGCACCACTCACGCTACCAAAGCATACATACATACCCTCAAGAGTTTTCTACAGGAGATCCTCCAAGCCACATCGCTTCATCATGCACTCCAAGGCGCACAAGCAAACCAACAAGGCTTGTCTTGCAAACGCGAGCTACAAACTGCGGAGCACGGCCAACACCAAAACAAGAGACCGGGACGAGAAAACAATACGACCGGGACAAGCCCGCGCCTCACGTCTCCAGAGCCGTCATCGTCGGCTAGGTCAGCCTCGCCCCCTCCGGCGAGAACGCCGAGGGCATTTCTCGTGGACCTCAACACCGGCTTGTCCAAGTCGTCCACCACGCGAGCGCTGCGGGTCGAGCTCGGGTTTGCCCGACCCCAAGCCGCAACAGCCTGACCGCCACCGAAAAGGGGTTACGGAAGGGGAGCGTGCTCTCTTGGCGCAGTATCTACTGGTGACGCCTGGTTTCGTCGAAGGGGCGTAGAAGGTTGGACATGAGCAAAAATGAATCCGCTGCAACACCACACGAAGCCACCAGCGCTAGGGCCTTTTTGTGCTGGACTACCTGATTCCAAGAGACGACAACTCTCGTGATTGGAGTGGTAGGGTGGACGGACACTGCACAACCCTGGCAGACTACTGTCATAACAGCCACCAATAAGGTACCGATCCGTGAAAATTGCGCATCTAGGTTGCATACGATACCAACACCCCCGATTAAAAAAATTCTGTGACTCTGCAGCAAAAATCACTGACCGTGTTGAGATGACCCCTGCTGTAAACATCTGTCGCCGCCGCCGCTGAACCGTCCAACTCAATCCCGACCCCCGTCGTGTATCCCCCTGATACTCACCTTGTAAGGCGGTGGCGAGATAGCGGGGACGAGCTCCACCGTTCTGCCCGGGCCTTGGTTGACGTGGCGGCTTTGTCTCCTGGCCGCTTCTCCGAACATCGCCGCTGCCTCCTTCCATTCGTCGATGCCGCTGCTTGTACCAAACATCGCGCGAATCGGTAGACACAAAGAGGTGGGTGAATCGGAACACACACCCCGGGGAAGCGAAGACTTCAAAGCCAAGGTTGCAATTCGCGAGTTCAAGGGTTGGAAAGGGGTGTACCAGCACGGTGCACCCCTCTCATTCCCCTGGCACAAGGTGCCTCTATAGACTCTTGGCTGGGTCAGACTCTCAGACCTATAGGGGACACCACACCGCAAGGGCGGTAAGCCGCCTCGAGCAAAACCTGCTTCGGAAAAACGAAAAAGTGGAGCAACGAAACTCACCGCAAGGCGATGGGTTCTTGTTGCCTGGGGCCACCGCCCGTCCACGAAAGGGGTTCCGAACTACCGCCGCCGCCCTCGTAACTCTCTCCCGAGAGCCCACCCGTCCCTGTCACCCGATGATCGGGGGACGGCGACATAGCAAGTCCGCCGTCGGCCCCGAGACCGCTCCCACCACCCACGGCTCGGTTTCTGGGCTCGCTATCGGGAAGGTGAGAGAGTGGCGTGCAGGAGGAACACGAAGACGCAACGCCGCGTCCAGCGTGGCGATGTCTTGGAGACGTTGGCGTGGCGGTCGCCGCCTCCGCCTGTTGGTGCGCGTGGAGGAGCTCGCGTGATTGGAGGGTATCGAACGCCTGAGGTTTACCGAGAACGGCACCGACGAACGCGACAGTAGAGGGCGCAAGCACAGGCGGCGGGGGGGGGGGGTAGATCAGTTAGGCTGACACCTTTGCATCGGCGACCGACGCTGGTCGTCGTGGTGAGCGAAAAGGGTGACGCCTCAACGCGATGCTACANGCGCAAGCACAGGCGGGGGGGGGGGGGGGTAGATCAGTTAGGCTGACACCTTTGCATCGGCGACCGACGCTGGTCGTCGTGGTGAGCGAAAAGGGTGACGCCTCAACGCGATGCTACACTGTACTAACTTGGCGTCTCGCCAACCATCTGATTCCCAGATCAACCTCCAGCGCTTGAATTCATAACATGGACCCATGATTTCCCTCCAAACTAGCTTCGAAGACAACACAACCCCGCGTCCTTCGCTCCGCTTATGGGTAAATCGTCGCCTGGAATCTGCCCCAATCGGCTGACCTTGAGGTTGTCCTTGTGCTGAATCCGAAACACGTTTCCAGCAAACTCCCGTGGACGCTCCGGGACGTCGTCCCTGCGGCTGTAGTAAGGCTCGGTATGCAACACCTGAGCAGGCAAGACAGCCCGCCATGTGCAAGATATGGTGATAAAGAAACCTCTAGTTCTGAGATTCAGTTGATCACGGTGTTGGCGTGAGGGAAGAGCAGACCGACCTCAAGGGCTTTCTACCATTGCATTTTACGTGGTTCCTAGGCGCGCGCCACAAGGTGCCGACAACGTTTCACACGCGCACGTACATCTCTGTGTTGGGTGCACCGCCCACCTGAGGAACACCAAGGCGCGACAGAGCGGCTGCACATGTCTTCGGGTCCGGCGCGGTCTCGGGGGGTCTGAGCACCACCGTTCCCGATTCCCGCCCCCCGATCCCGCGCTGCCTTGGCGTTGGGGGAGTAAAACCCGAGAAACTCTCCCTGACCGGCGACGCGGCCGAGCCGCTCCCAGATGTCAGAAAGAAAGCTTCTCCTGGATTCGGGGCCGGTCCGCTGTTGTTGCAACCGGTCCGCTGTACTCCGCTGCTCCACGCATCCGATAAGGGCGTATCGGACGCAGCAGCACCAGCCCCCCTCGCTGCCGTGATCGGCAACCAGGGGCTAGGTTGTGCGAGCGGAGGGACGTCGGAATTGTCGCTTGGGGCCGACAGCGGGGTGGTGGGCGAACGGCCTGCCGTGTACACAGCGAGCGATGGTAGTGGGGGTGTTGGGGTCGGAAACACAGAAGCGACGGCCGCCGGCGGAGAGCAAGAAAGCCCAGTAGAGTTGTCGCGCCGTGGTGCCGTTGCCGGAGCCCTGAGTGCGCTGTCGGCTGCCATGTGTCTGTTGGCCAGTCCCTGTCGATGCAACGGGGTTCCCGGTATGTCCTGCTCCTGAGTACGACTCTCCCGCGGCGTCGAGCTCCTCGCTGACCCCCTTGCGTGATTCGTGCCAACATGGGGCTGATCAGCATCATTCTCCGAAGACGTCCCCGGTTCTTGGTGCAGTGCCAACGGCGCCAGGGGTGAACAATTCTTGGTGCTGCCTCTTCTTCCACCATTGCTGTTGTCCGTTCGCGCCTGATGCGAAGAAGGCGACGGGGTCCCTCGCGTCTGCGCGAGGCGTATCCGTGCGTCGGCACCTCGCCACCTACCGTCCACGCCGCTGTCCCCCGCACTGCTACTTCCTCCCGGAGAAGCTCGGGCATTGTCGGTGTTCTGACCAGGTTTCCTGCCAGTAGCTTCAGATCTCGGAGGACCCAACGCTGGGGTTGGCGTGGTTTCGCGGCTGGTGCCAACATAGAGCGGAGGCGTTTCCTTTTGGGTGGGGTTTTCCGGTGGCGGTGGCGGGCTGGCGCTACGGGGTTTGCCCTTTGCTGAGTCGGGCTCCCCGCCAATATCACCTCCGCCGTGCTTTTCAACCGGCGCCTCGGAAACCCTGGCGGCGGCGCTTTCCGTGCCACCACTGCGGTTGTACCCTTCGTCTCCGAGAACCTTCTGTTTCTTTCTTGCCGCTTTACCGCCTTCGGTTTCCGAGAAATCATTGTCCGTTCTCGCGCCCATTCCCCGGGTCGATTTTGGGGACACTCGGAGCTGGGCAATGGGAAAGAAGCTCAGTTGACTCTCTGAGTACTCGACTGGGTGATGACCCTGCGATCCCCACCCAGGCACCACCACCTGCGATCGTTCGTCCTTGTTCGCATCCTCGTCCTGAGTATCGGAGCTTCCGTCCCCATCAGCAGAGTCAGTTCCGCCAGCGGCGGCAGGGTCATCCTTCCGCGGCTCGCGGTGAACAAGACCAGGAGATTTATCGCCGTTATCACCACCGCACATACCATCATCACCGCGAATACCACTAGAGCCACCGCCGCCGCCGCTACCACAACGACCGGCGCTACCAGCTTCATCAACTGTAGGAAGGTTGGCCGCCGTGGAGAGCAGCCTCGGGGGCTTGAACCCACCAACAACTCCCGGCATCGAAGACGAGCGTCGAATGCCAACAGGTACCCGGAGCGGTGCTCGCCGCTTAGGGAGAGCACCAGACGCAGGTGCTGCTCGCTTGCCGCCGGCTGGCGGATCGTTACTCTGCATGTCAGGGCCATTCCGCGCACTACTGCTGCTGGCGCCTGGGAGCGAGGCGGAACTGGTCGATGGTTCCGGCGCCGTTGCTGCTCGCGACGGCCGGGTAGGTTTGGGCTTGGTGCGGGCCAGTCCAACGCCACCGCGAAGCCTGAGGGGCCCTTTCGTGCCCGAGTCCTTCACACCGTCCTCCTCCTCCTCCTCGTCCTCCTCCTCGTCCTCCTCCTCCTCCTCCTCCATGTCCACTCGCCCTCTCTCTCTACCCTCCTGGTTTCCCTCTACTTCGTCGTCATACCGGAGCTGGGTTGGCCCTCGCGTCCACCTGTGGTCAACGTCTGCTCTATTTCGTGGAGGTTCAGTCCTCATCGTGCGCTCCCCCCCACCATCCTCCTCGTCCTTCTCCTCGTCCTTTTCCTCCAAGATGGCGTCCATTGAGTGATCTGCAAAAAAAGTCGAATTCTGCGCATTCTCGTCTTGCTCGACCTCCACCTGGGAACATATGATGTCTACCAGCTCGCTTTGGGATCTGCAGGTGAAATCGTCGTGCGGGTTCGTTACGACCATCCGGCCGGCGACGAGGAGGACATCACACAGGACAAGGACCAAAACATGATTTGGCCGTGGATGAGCGCTGTTTTCAGAGAAGCCGACGCTGGGAATACACGTTCACCACCAGCAAATACCCAGCTAGCATCAAGCGACCGACGTACGTACATCTCAAACCGACACAGAGACATGGACACCCCGTTTTTATCTCCATCGCCCATAGCAACAACAACGGTGAGACGTCAGGACTGGGTTGGATTAAGGCAGTGCAGGGATTGTGGCGCGTTCAGCTTGCCGACGTTCTCACCTGGGCTCAGAACCTTGCGCCCGTGATGCCAAGAGGGGGTCGTGAGGCGACATTCTTGGGTCGATTGGTATTCTCCTTTCTCGATCGATCTCTACCTGCACGCTGTCTTTAACGTCGTCCAGGCTCCTACGAAACGTTCAGAGATAAGCGGAGACGGGGGCAAGACCATCATCAAGGAAGCATACCTTGAAGGTAGACAAGGTTGAGAATTCGCGGACCATCCGGCATTGCTAGATACCTTGGTCGTTGTATTGTGTCGCCGAGGAATGTAATTTCGACAGCACCACAGCCTCGCGCTGTTGGGGCCTCACCTAGCAGATAGTTGAGATAGCATTCTCTCAACTCCATCCTCCGCTCCTTCATCCTCCTCGTCCATTTCCTCCTCTCCTTCCTCGAGGCGGTTCTCGTCCATCTTACCACCGCCGCGCCAATCTCTGCCAGTAAGTCTTCCCGAGATGCCCGCGCTAGCCACCTCGGTGCTCCTTTGCGACCAGAACGGCAACGTTGACGCTCTGACCGGCTCCGGCCCCGCGCCGCGCTGAGACCATGGCGGGTAGCTGGCGGCCCGTTGGGACGACGACCAGGGGGGGGGGTCTGCCAAAACCGGTGTTTGCATACCAGCAGCTCCGGGCACAGGGACGGCCGCGCTTGGTTTGCCGGTGGCCGAAGAGATAGACATAATGACAGCCGCGGCTCGTGCGGGTTCCAGGTAGTCGTCTGACCCGTCCGAGTCGTAGTGCCGCTCGGACTGCGCCGCCAACGCCATCCGGGTGCCTAGCTCTTCTTCATCTAGCTCCTGTTTTTTCTGGGAATATAGGACGGGTTTCCAAAGCGGGCCGCTGCGTTTCGGCACATCGAAATTCGACGATTTGCAAGTTACAAAGGTGCATGATCATTGCAGATAACGAGCGCTTGATTCCGAACCCAACCTTCACATACAAGATGGAAACTTCTTTGGCTTAGCTACTACAAGACCAAACGCTTCCTATTTCCGATGAATGGGAAAAGATGAAAAGTGCGACGAGAACTTCCACCTGCGTTGCTGCCACCGCCTCTGCTTGATCTGCGGAAGATTGAGGGGTGAAAGCGGGCCTTTGTGACAGGGGTCCTGACGGCGACCGGGTGTACTGCTGCCCTGCCGGTGGCGACGAAAGCGACTCGCGATCGACTCCCTGGCTCTGACTTTGCTGAGACCCTCTCAACGCGGCAATCATATCGAGCAGCCCTTGGTCCACATCATGATCGCATATCCCGCCCAGCGAGGGCAAGTAGTTAGCCGGAGAGCAGGATGCATCCGCGACCGGTGTAGCTGCATTTGCTTCACCCGTTCCTGAAGCCTGGGACAATGAACCGTCTCGCGAAGGCGTCAGCTCGACTTCGCCTGATCGCTCGTCAAAATCGTTCCCGCTGGCGGACGCTTGAGAACGAGGTTCCGAACGTTCCTCCTTCGGGAAAAACCCAGAGTCTCGGCAAGGCGTCGCCCTTCGCAAGACGTTACGAGCAAGGCCTTCAGCTTCGTCTCTCACGTGCTGCGTCAGCAGCAACTCTGGAGGTTCCCAGACATCCTGACTATCGGCGAGCTCGAGACCTGGCGGGGCCGAGAGCTGTGACCCCCCGCCTGCCACCCGCGAGCGCTCCTTCTCTTCGTCCCACAGCTCGCGCAGACTTGCCACCGCCATTGGCTTCCCGTCTGCTCCCCCCGCCCTCCCAGCAGCCAGTAGGCTTGGGTTGATCACGTCGTCGATGATTCCCACGACTTCTAGCTCCGTTGTGGTTTGGCGTTCCCACCACTTGGGCCTGGGACGGTCCCCAGTGGCACCTTCTTGGTCTGCATGTATCTTGCCGGGTGAAGACGTAGCAGTCGCTCTAGGCGCGGGCCCTTCTTTGGGCGGGCGGGAGCGTGTTACCTTCGGTGCGATAGACGGCTGAGAAAATAGCTGCGACATGCTGATCCCCTCCAAAAGGTCTTGAGCAGCCTTAGATTTCAAGAGTGGACCAACATTTCGGAGAGTAGGAACGCCAGGAATATACGTGGATGAACAACACGGACCTAAACCGGAGTCGGCAAGGAAAGGAGCTGCACACGACACCAAGTTACTAGAGATGAGAGTGTTGCTGCGAGAACGGCGGGAACGCACAACACGCGCGCTCCACACGAAACAGGGCTCCTCGTACACAGAACCTACCTCATCAGTGTCGCCTCGCAGGGTTACAGGCTCAAGCCCTCGTACTGTCACTGTACTTGCGGCACCATCAGCTGTTCTACCTCCTGCCCGCTCACTACCGGGCACACCAGCGGGAGAACGCCACGCATCGCCCTGGCCCACGGGGTTCGCCACAAGACTTTCCGGTACTGTAGCCGAAGTGAATATCCCGGTTAATGGCGACTCGCCGTTGTCGTTTAAGCCGGTGCTGTCCGGAGAAGACTCCCGAGACGACGACGTTACGCTCGAGAGCTCGGGCAACGGCTGCAGAAAGAGAGCGTTTCGAAGATGCACGTAGCTCATGCCGGAGATGTTGTAGTCGATGAACACCTGTTCCAGAGCCAGGTTTCGCCAGCACGGGCATCAAATTGTAGGTCAGCCTCGCCAAACGCACATTTGGGGAAACTCTCTACAACCTGCTTCGTGATATAGTCTCGACCACATCAAAGAGGCCCAACAACTCAGGCGCACGGCACGAAAAAAAATCAGGATGTACGCGACACCACTCGGCGAACTTTCGACACTGTTTCCTTGCCGTGTCCTGCACATGAAAACTCTCCAAATGCAGACGATAGGCCGCCCGCCCAACTACACACCTGAAGCAAGAAGGGCACATGAGACTCGAACGGTTGGAAGCGCGTGGATAGCACGTGTCCAGCTTGCAGAACGGAGGCCACCTTGCCGGTCAGTGCCGGGTTGTTCACGTACACCTTAAGGCCGAAGGCAGTCAACCGCACGTTTAAGGAAGGCATGCACCTCCACACGAGGCCGGCAGGAAGGAGAACCAATGCAATAACGCCCCGCGGGGAGGGTGCACGATTCCGGAGTCTCTTTAAAATGTTGCATTGCATACTTTCGACATTCCGCATGTTGTAGGAAACCAACGTGCACACCCTACAGAGGTCTAACGATATATACAAGCGTCAGCGACATTATCTTATCGTTCCCCAAATTTCAGGCACTCGGTGCGTACGGCACTCCCTGCTTCACATGTGTATGTTGCAGGGCATCAACTCAATCCGAGACACGATTTACCTGTCATCCTGCAGTTAATCAGATTGTCGTCAGTCCATCCACCGCAAGAAAGAAACAACATATCCGGCTACACACACGAAGGGCCGCAGTGATAGAAACTCGTGCTCAAAACCATACCACGCGACGGACGCTCGCACCTTCACAAACAATTTCTCCTCGCCATGATAGCCGTAGAAAGGCACGCCTCGGACGACCTCTAGCCGTGCAAGCACCGGTTGTTGAGTCCGCCCCCACGGTCGCCCGCCCCGTCCCGCCCCCCCCGCAGGAGAGAGTGAGGGGGCGCCAGGCCCACCGGACGAAGACGCCATGGCCGATTCCAGCGCTTGTTCTAGCTGGGGAAGTAGGGCGTTCAAACTGCCGGGGTCTTCAAACTGAGCGCAAATAGCAGAGCTTTCTTCCTCCATTGGCCTAACCATGAAATAGGGCAATGCCTGTTAGTTGGCCGTTTTGCAGGAGGAACAGGGTTCAACGGTCGGCGATATTTCTCGTGTTGAAAGGTGGCGTCGTTGGTTTTAGTGCAAACAAGAAATGCAAGCAATGCTTCGGCAGATTAGCAAGTGAGCTGGCGACAATAACATGAGACGACGAGACCCCACCCGAGCATGCCGTGTATGTTCCACAGTAGGCACCCAGTAGTATTTGCTCTGAGTACAGGAGACATGTACATTCATGATAGCTACTATCGGCGGGTTCAACAAGAACACACTAGATCTGCCGCCGACACCTTTTGCAAGTCAGACATATTTTCCTTGGGGGGATGTTTGCACACATGCAAAGCGACATATGACAGCTCAATGCTCAATCAAGACCACGGGTGTTCTTAAATGGAGCTGGTACTGCTGTGTACTGCTGTATAGACAGCCTGCCTGGATGCGGTGCAACTCGTGCGAATTCGTTCACGATGTGTGCATTCAAAAAGCGACCATGCCGACAGCCCGCAACTTTTCAATCTTGGGCGCTATGAGCTCACCCCGTGAAGATGAAGGCATGACCTTTGCCCTGCAGGCGTAGACCCGAAAATGAGCACCACGGGCAGCTTGCTCTCCTCGGAGTGGTACCAGTCCACGTTCACGACGCGCACAGAGATCAAAGGCGCATCCAAAGCGGCCATTTCTCTGCATCCAGAATGTTGTTGGGTTCACTTTGTTTCAACTATTTCCGCGTACTGGTTCATGCCGCAATCATGTCACTGCGGCGCGACGGGGTTCTTCGACATCCAGAGGCTTCAAGACTCTTGACTCTCCCTCTGACTGCTCAATACTCACACACGCGAGTGCGAGCGCGCCTTGCTGTGGTTGCGTGGCGACTGAACAAACCAAAATATAGAGGGGAGACTGTTGGTACTGGCCCCTGTGTGATGCAAAGCCTCCAGGAACTGTACAATTCCCTCTAGAGGAGTTTGACGGCCACGAAGCCACGGGCGTTGCTGGGGGCCCAAAACGCAGAAAAGTCCGGCCAAAAATCAA